TACTATGATTTTTAGGATGTTACACAGAGTGCTTGTGGTGTAGGTATTAGTGTAGATGTATATATAGGGGTAGACATGGATGTAGGGATGGAGGTGGGAATGTATGTGTAAGTGTAGATGTGGGTGGTGGTGTAGATGTAGGGGTTAGGGTGAGGGTGAATATGGGGGTATGGTTGGTGGGATAAGTAGGGTAGTGATGAGGTAACGATGGGGAATGGATTGTTGTAGGAAAAAGCATTATAGCATTGTACAACGCATGGTGGAATCACTCCATAGTTTGGAAGAATCACTCTACTCATACCCTTACAATGTCTAACAACTACAAACTAGATGACATGTGAACCATCAACATACAATACATAAGGGTAAGGAGCATCACTTGTTTATAATAATGATTATCTAGAAATATAATCACCCCAACAATAAAGTTAAATCCAACAAGGATTATGAATCACTCACATGGTATCCCATCCTAACATGAATGCATAGTTAGGATGTTGATAACATGCCCTAGCAAGCACGAAAAAGAGCTGCACCCGGCCGCGATATAACGCCTGATGGATTAACGTGTCCGACAGGACAGACCCAACAGAGCTTAATGCCCGCCAGCGCCCCTGAGAGCAGGGCGCTCCTGCAGAAAGACTCGTGCCCGCATAGGAATGATATGGTCAAGCGACAAAGCAGACGATCAGGGAACTACAGCTAGAACCAATAGCAACGCTCTGACAAATAGAGGAGCACGCTCCAATCAGCGTCCCTGATCATGTCGCTTCTGACGATACTGTCTCTAACGGACGATCATGAAGGCCTAATATAAAAGCCTACACCTACAGCCCCAACAGGCAAGTCGCTTGCTCCAAGTAACCAAACCCTAGAATACCTAACTGACTTAACCGTCGAAACGTTTTTTCGGGAGCTCCTCCTGGGAAACGGCTGACAACTTTCTCTTCATTGTGACCTTGCAGGAACAACGGCGCAGTCATTACCGGAACCTAAATATTCCTAAGGCTAAGGTCTCATCATTTGACGTCATCCGTTGTGTGATGAAAAACATAACAAAAAGCACATCGTTCATCATAAACAAATGGCACCTGGCGACACCGAAGGCACCAATAGGACACCAACCAGTCCAATCCGGTCAATGGCGTCGTTAGAAGAAACGCCACCACCTATAGTGGCCGCTAGAGAGGTGCATACGAGGGTGGTTCGGTGATAACCGTCGAACCACCAGAAAGACAACAACAACCGACCGACGAGGAAGACCTTTCCTCCGCCGCTATCCTGACAACAATCACTCTGACGCAGACATCTCAACCACCGCTTGCACCGTCAACGACAAGCACCCATGTTGCAACACCGGTCCCACACCAACAGCCAATGCCAGCCAAAATGAAAATGCCACCACACATATTTTTTTTAAACACCGCCACTGGGACAACCGGCACCGACGCAACCAATAGTTTCCCAGATACCACCATTGTTTAATCCGTCGAAGCGTCTTTCCGGGAGCTCCTCCCGAGAAAGGGCTGACGGCTTTCTCTTCATTGTGACCTTGCAGGAACGACGACGCAGTCATTACCGGAACCTGAATATTCCCAAGGCCGAGATCGCATCAGACACGTAGTAGTTTTCAAATCCACAAAGCTTATAACTTGGTAAAAATATTTCTAAAATAAAATTTATATAATGGACAAGTAATATATATATATATATATATATATATATATATATATATATATATATATATATATATATATATATATATATATATATAAAATGTACACACACTCTGGCTAAACTCACCTTAAATGATTGCGATGTAAACACACTATCTTCAATGCTTGGATGCCCTTGAATCACCATTTACTGATTTCAATATAGGTTACTAAATGACTATAAAACACCCCTACATAATTAATATGCTGGTTCATATGATGCTTAAAGCATGGATCTCTAGACTCTGGAAGTAATTGGGCGCAAAACAAACGAGCCAAACACAAGATACAACAAGTTCAAAAAAAAAATTATTGAAGGCTACACAACCCATGAGGATTTACTCTTGATCCTCTCAAATCTATATTAAGGCATCATACTTTACTCCAATGGTTTCCACTCATTCCCAAACTTTTCCCATGGCTACTAATGGTTACTAAGAGTCTAACTAACATTAAGTATATCTCATAAAATTCATATTTTTCACAAATCAGTAACTTGATGTATCCATGAGTTTAAGAGTGTACACATAAAGAAACCAAACATCTACTTAATACTTAAGTCACTATTAAATTATTTACTCAAATCTTTATGATCAATAAGGATATTATCAAATATGTTTTATTTATCATAACAACTCGAATTCCAATTCTAGTTCATGATTCCATTGCTACAAACATGATTCCAAGTTTATCAATGAAATTGAGAAGCTTAAATCCAACTATAGAGTTTGTGAAGTTAACCAAATTCTTTTATCACTTCAAAATATCTCAAACATATATAGATTTGAGCAATTTGCTTCCATTTAATCATATTCATAATCATTTAGATATATACATGGTTAGAGATCTCATTTCGATTGTAAATCATCACTTCCATTCACAAAAATCTATAAAAAAACATGGGAGACTATTAAAATTTAATCATAAACCAAATGAATATGTTAATTAGCCTAGATAACATGTATTTGATCTCTTGATCATAATAACAAACTAATGTGCAAGTTTCAATGGATATGGTACCAACAATTATTCATTTTCAAAGTTCTATGTAATTTATTTGAAAAATCCTTTTTTATAAATTTTTTTGAAAGAAATACTAAACCAAGCTTTTTTCTACCTTTTTAATTTTTTAGAACAATCGCACGATAAGCTTCTTTAGAGTTTCCAACTCATTTTTTTTTATAGAAAAAGCAAATATTATTAAAAATATCATTGAAAGGGGACACACTATAGCAAGAAGCTACAATGAGACCAAATACAAACATAGAAAGGAAACAGAAACAAAAAAAACAAACGTGAAAATTAAGATGAAAGATAAGTGAAAAACGAAACGCTCCACTCAACTCAATTACCACAACTAGTGCCACATCGATGCTTGCACCATATGCACGTGAGAGAAATTATATTATTAGCCATATTTGTAGGATTTACATCAATATGTTTGAATATTTTTTCATTCTTTAATAGCCAAATGTTCACAATACAATAGAACATCATGGTTAGATTTTATATTTCCTAGGACAATGTCCCCAAATAGCAGCGTCAATGAATTCTCTGACTTGAGAACATAATGTCTTCTAATCCACACCGTTTCTATAAATCGGTAGGTTAGAAATATAGTTCAGGGGTAATATCTGCACATTTACTAGTTGGAAAAGCAATGCAGTGAATGGACACATACTAATATATCCTCAACCACGCTCTTCTCCATCGCGTGTACTTAAACTCCAGAAAGATAGGAAATCGTCAAATCCGCACCGTTCAAATTTAGAATGCAAAGTGGGGTAGGAGGTCTAATAGGCAATCTGATGTGGCAAAAAGTGATAAACCAGCTCATCAGGAAGTTTAAAGGCCGAATAACGCTATAACCGGCCTTTGGAAGAGGGCAATCTTTTAGGTTCGACGTGGCAATAAAGTTGCGATTATTTTATCCAAGTCACACTTGTAATACTTTTCTTTAAATAAATACGTGGCAGAAAGATATTATAATTAGTAATAGACAAAAGAACAAACAAAAGGTGTGCCCACAATGCGACTAGATGTCTCCGTAGATATTCTTTATCACATGTCTGTTTAACAAATCTTTTGAAAGCCAAATACCATGCATGAAAAATATCAGTGTGATCATTAAAGAACTCTTTTTATCACAAAAAGTTTGGTTAAAGTTTTTTTTTATTTATTTAATATAACCGACTCTACACTCTATATTTAAGATGCCAACATTTTATTTATTTTCTTCTTCACAAATATACACTTGTGTTTTTTACACGACCTTATCTAAATCAACCTTGGTCTGAGCCATGTTATCACTTGTAATTGATTTTCAGTTAAAACAGCATAAACTTCACAGCAAGAAAACAAAAGGTAAGATTTGGTTATTTAAGGCTCTTAAAAAAGTTTGAGTACTAACTTAGGCGGATGATGATAAAACTTTGTAAAAACATATTGTAAGAACTTCCAATATTTCAAAAATAGATGTTGATATTTTTATGCTAGTTGGTTCGACTTCGCCAATATTGGTTTCAACACTGTAGGCAATGTATTATTTCAAAACCCCACCACATCATTAATTACCTACAAGTAAACAAAAAGGCCTAAGACAATGTTAAAAAATAATACTAGTATTTGTAAGTATGATTAGTTTGGGTATTTAAGTTTATATACATTTTAGGGTATATATATATATATATATATATATATATATATATATATATATATATATATATATATATATATATATATATATATATATATAAACTTGTCAATGAAGTTGACGTTTTCTTTTATTTAACCATCTCAACTTGTTCACTTTTGCATTGAAAAATTGTTAATTGCAATTCTTGTTGATCAGCGCGAGTGATTATCGGTTGTTATAAGTTAGAAAAAACATTTTCATGGAGTTACAAACTTATTCTTGCGAGCTTGGTGGTCATCTTCTAAAATCTCGAAAATCAGACTTAAGACCACCATTTTAATGAATAGCTCTTCTGATAACGAACTAGACATTCATTTTTGAAGATTAAATCACTACATTTAAACAAATTGTTTTAACCTTCTTAAAATTTTATCCCCATTTTAATTTGCCCGGCCCCACTATTTGTGTCATATATATCGGTAAGGTAGTATGATTATGTTACAATAGGTGTACATAATTCGTTAAGAACTCCAGCGTTTTGAAAATAAAAATATATATCAAATAAACGTCATTCATAACTATATAATTCAATATCTTTGCAACACATGATATAAGAAGAATGAAACTAAAATAGATGACTGGGTTCTGCATCAACGCCAATTTAGTTTGAACACGCTGACTCGAGCCAACCCATCTAGAGAGCTTTTCGGAAGGGTCTCCCCCTCTTCGTGCGTTTCTATCTCAAAATCTTTCAAGTAATCAGACCAATGCAAATCCTCCCTAACCTCTTTGGTATTCTTCTTCTTCTCAATAACCTCACTCAGCATCACCTTGAAAAAGTGGTTGTTGTCTGCTTTTACAACTACTTTTTTAGGATGGCAAATTGTAAAAAACGCATCAAAAAGTTGGGAACGCTCCCACAGGCTTTCATCCCCAATCGTAAAAAACGACAGTTGTTGTACGTTTTTAGCCGGAAACCCAACCATTTTTCTTAGATTAACAACGTTGATGTCAAATGGCAGGTTTATGACACTAATGTTCTTGGTTTTTATCTTAATGTCGCATTTCATTGCTAACTTGAATGCTTTCCTCATCTTGACAAAAAAAGAAACTTGAAGGGGATTGCTCAAAGACAATGCAAGGACGATTTGCCTGATTCGGGAGTTGTCAGTGGCTGGAAAAAACACAAACCTAGGCATCGACTTGCCTTCAAAAAGAAAAACGTGTAACTTTGGTGCATTGACTTCTATCAGTTGTATGTCGATACGCATGTATTGACAAGATCGCAAGGATAATATCTCCATTGAAGCACATGTGAGATCGAACCTTCCCAACCTCCAACGTCTCATATTAAGGGTTAAAATCTTGAGAGATGGAAATTTTGATTTGATCATGTCTAGGCATGCATCGTCAATGATTATACCACGTAAATATAATTGTGTCAAGTTGCTTCCTAATGACAATAAATGCGCGTTGAATGGAAGAGGGTTCGCTGGTGGTGATGGAAAACGTAGATCGAAGCTACACTTTGTAAGATTCGGGACATGATTGATTTCCAAGAAAGTTGTGTTTCCTTCATCTGAAATTATTCTTAACTTGTAAAGATAACCAAGGTTCTTAACCTTTATGGTATTGAAACCCTTGCAATGTAAAAGCTTTATCTTCACAAGCGAGCTACAAGTAGAAAATATGTCATCAAGCACCTCTTGACTTATATGAACATGTTGCAAATTGAGTACTCGAAGAGACACACAGTTGATCACAGGATGATCAATACTCATCATATAAACGGAATAAGCCTCTGAGAAAAGACTGGAAACTCTTAATGTAGTCAGATTTATACCAGAGAGTATATTATCTGGCAACGTAAACGAGGCACTGGCAACAACGAATGTTAGGGAAAGCGCATTAAGGGAACTTTTGGATGCCACGGGTCGAATCCATTTCTCAGCAAGAGAAGCGGACTCTTGATTCTCAACGTTGATCTTAAGGTTGATGCTTTGTATAGGTATGTTGTCATGGAGATACCTTATCAGAGTGTGGTCAATCACCTTCAAGTGCTCTGTTTCTTGTTCTTTGGTGAGAGAGGTTACAGCTTCACGAAACCTGAGGATAGGAATGGTAGACCAAGCGTGTAGCCATGATTTGGAGAGGATGGATGTGCATGCGGCTTCTTTTACTGGCAAACGTGATTGTATATTGTGGATCACCTCCGGAATATCTTCCAAGCGTGGGATGCTTCCCATCGTTTATGGTTTAAATGGTTTCACAAAACAAAAATAGAACTAAAGTTTGTTATAAAAAGGTGAAGGAAGTTCTATAAAAGATATATCTTTGATTAATGTGTTGCGAGTGATAACGAAATGATGAATATCATTAAGTACACCTGTACCTAGAAGAATATATGTTTTTAATAATGTGATAAAATAGTTACACCTCTATCTATAAAAAATATATTTTTTATTAATGTGTTGTGAGTGATAACGAGATTATGATATCACTAAGTAGACCTCTATCTATAACAAATATATTTTGTTTAATGTGTTGTAATGACGAAAACGAATAAGATTCTTTTAGAATGCCAAACTCCCGATATCCCTAATCCTACTCCTACATGCAAACTATTTTCGACCACAAGAGAACCTATTTGTCGCGTAATTAAGCATAAATTAATGTTATGTCAAAACGATAATGAAATGATTTTAGTAATAGTTGATAAAAGGGTTTATTACATAATAATGCAACAATGATTCATATTTTTACCAATTTATGTTTCAATGTTGTTTTTAGTACAAAATATGCAACATTTTCAAATATACCGTTGAATGTAACCTACTTGTATATTACTCAATGTCATTAGCATATATGCATACCCATCCAAACATCTAAATATACTCCCTTCATTCCCAAAAAGGGAGATACATTTTGAAATTTTTACATCAAAACTAATGTTTCAGCAATCTAAATCGATATAAGTTTGTTATCATTCTATCACAATCTTTATCCAAGTTCTATTCTTGTAATGTTCAGCATCTTTGACAGATTACTTGAAGATCCAAAAGCACACGATTGAATGTAAAATCAAAATTAATCAAAGTGAAGATATATGCTTTAAAGTTTTAAAGTTTTAATCTGTTTGCAGCTTGCTGGTTTCCCTCATAAACTTCAATATAGAAATTAGTAATTGTAACTTTATAGAGTATGATCAAGTTGCTTTTACAAAATAAATGAAACTCAAAGCAAAAAATTAAAAAAATAATAAGAGGTATACAAAGGGCAGCCTGACTCTTGAAGTCCTCCGGATCGAAATTTCAGACACTAATTCCATGAGTATACATACCCTTGCAGCAGGTTGCAAGGAAGAATTTTGCATTACAGATAGACCAATTTAATATGAAAAGCTTATGATGATAGGAAGTTAGGAACTTCACATGTGTTAAATGCTCCTTTTTCTCCTGATAACTCCTTGTTCTGCATAAGAAGTTGTGCTTCCTTTGCCTAAAACAATAAAAACAAGGTCAAAAAGCTTATAATACAAAATAACAATAATTAGAGTTGTAGCTTCAAAATACCTTTAGCGTCCTAAAATGGTCTCCTAGGAGGAAAAGACCATTAAGAATATGTCATACTGTTGGAAGTTTATATATATATATATATATATATATATATATATATATATATATATATATATATATATATATATATATATATATATATATATATATATATATATATATATATATATATATATATATATAAAGGAATTGCAAGTTGGCAATTTCCTTTGCGATTAGGGGGCGCCGGGGGGGGGGGGGGGAAGAAACTCGTATGGCGTATGGGTTTATAAGCCTATTCGTATGATAGGCATTCAAAGGTTTTAGTGGATTAAAGGAATGGGCCAGCCTGCTCGAGTTGAGCTGATGCTGCCAATGCGCGATTTATGGGTCAAGCCAGTTTGATTGATCCGATCAAATGGTTGACCGTCGTTGACTTCGTGGAGGGGTATTCTAGAAGAATTAGGAAACGGCCAATAGAAGCGAAGTAAAAACCGTTAAGGACATGAGCAAGTCGTCGCCCTAGGCTTTCTGGGGCCACTCTCTGCGTTTTTTTCTTCCGTTTCCGAGGATTCACTTTGTGTTTATCGATTTCCACTGCTGTTGGAAGATCGATAGATATGCATTAAATTATGGGGTTTTACTCTGTTGTTTACAGCTAATAGAAGCGAAGTAAAAACCTTTAAGGACATGATTCTGATCTGTGTAGTTATCAGAAGTTCAAGATCATGTTGGATTAGTGTCTAAGTCCATAACTATTTTGGTATGTACTTGACCCGATGGTGCATGGTCCTTTTGGGTTGCCTTCACCAAAGCAACTTGATAGGATGAATTATGGAGAGAAATGATTAAATATGATTTATTAATATATTATGAGAATAATATATTAAAGGAGAAATCATATTGTTTAATTAATATTAGTCAATAATTAATTAGTAATTAGTTTTGTAACTAAAAGAGATTAATTAAACTCAAGAGACTGTAATTGTAATTATAAGATAATTATAATGTGGGCCATGGATTACCTTATATTAAGGGGTGGACGAATTCTATGGGGGAAGCCCATATGAAATCGTCCATGGCTTAAGGAAAGGGCTCCATGGGTTGCTTAGGGCTTAAGCATCCAAATTATGGTTTCCTTGTTAGATAACCCTAATAGTCCAACTATATAAAGACCCCTTAAGGCTCAAAAACGTGGCTAAGCTTCTTGTTAGGGTTTCTACACGTTTTTGGTAGCCTCCAACCTCTCTCCTCATCATCTTCTTGCTTATGGTGTTTGTGAATCATTAGAGGAGTGACACTTGTGACTCTAAGCCTTCCAAAGTCAATTCAAGGTGGAATTGGGATTGTTATTGCTGCATAACAATCAAGGTAACACTATAAACTTATTCTCATGTTAATATGATTATATGTATGCTAGAATTAGGGTTTATAGTCTTGGATAACTTGCATGTACAATAGAGAAACCTAGATCCAAGTCTTAGGGTTTGTATGAGCACATACGATGTCTTATGACCAAAACCCATCAGTGGTATCAGAGCCATGATTGGTTTCTATTGTATTGTTGCTTGATATGTTTGCAAAATCGATTTTTAGGCTTTCCGGCTGAGGAACTCGGCGAGTACCACAGTGTACTCGGCGAGTAGACCTCAACTCGGCGAGTACAGTGTGGTACTCGGCCAGTTCGAGCGTCAGACAGAGGTATATCCGGGATTTCTTGTTGTTTTTGCTTATGGATAGTTACCTTATCATATTAGATCAATATAAATCCGATTTTATGATATATATATATATATATATATATATATATATATATATATATATATATATATATATATATATATAACTATATTCTTGATCTAATTAAAGATAATTATCAATTAATAAAATATTTGTTTACTTATTTGATAATTGATTGATTATTTTGATTAATTTGATAAATTGTTTTGCAAGAAATCATTAAATAAATCAAATATAGATAATTATGTGATTAAATGTTAATTTAGATTATTTGTTATTTGATCCTTATTGTTATGAAAAGTTTCATATTTTTCCCTTTAGGTTTTATAGTTTAAATTTGAACCCAAAAGTTCTGTTATTCTGAAATTTAAATAGTTGAAACCCTAATGTTTTGAAAAAGGTTTCAAAACTTGCCCTCAAGTTTTGGAATTTAAATTTTAATTAAATAGTTTAATTTTGATGTATATTTAAATTCTAAACCCTAATGTTTTGAAATGTTTCAAAACTTGCCCTCAAGTTTTGAAATTTAAAAGTTGATTAAAAGTTAATTAGGAATGTTAAATTCTAAAACCCTAGTAATATTTTGAAAAGTTCAAATACACCCTTATGGTTTTATTAATTAATTAAGGAGTATAATTAAAAGAGATTTTATAAATCCATAAAAGTTTAGCTTAACCATTTAATTGAATTAAAAGTATAATTGTTAAAGTTAACCACATAGTATTTTAAAAGTGTAAAATGCACCCTATACTATATATAACATTAAAAGTCTAACATTATATATATGTATAAGTAAAAGTCAGTTTTACTGTTAGTAGACCTCATTCACGAAGCTGGTCTATAAGGGGTATTTAAGGAAATTGCCTATAATATGGCGATTGAATGGGTATCCACTCTTACCCACCGCACTCTTGACTAGTGGAGGGTCGTTAGCCGAACGGGTAGGATAGGACGAAACCTTACATTATAAGTATAATGAAATACAAAGTAACTAAATGTTTTGCAAATTCCCAATCTTAGTTACTTAGGCAAAAGTGAATTGATGCAATTCCATGAAATTACACTTTGTGCCCTTGCGAAGATGTTAGTGGAGCGTGTGTGGTTTACCGGCACACTAAATGGTTCTAAGCAAAGGTAGCAAAGGGTGACTCAATGTTTTTCATAGTTCGGTGGAGCGTGTGTGGTTTAACGGCACATCAAATAGGTGACTGTAACATGTGAGGGCATCATGTAAGTTTGCATGGTTATTCACACCCGCTTTGTGATCCTTGGCATCCCAGTCACAAACAAGAGGGGCATATCGAGATTTAAACATGCCATTGAAATGTTCAATGAATCTCAAAGGATCTAGGAGTTTTCATAGATTTAAAACTTAAATTTCTTTTTCGTTTTTCATGGTGGAAATTAGTGAATCGTCATTCACTTACCTTCAAATATTCTGCAACTAGATTACGACATCCATTTTCTAGGTTGTAGCGTATTGTGTTGGGTCCTAGCTTTGGTATCTCATTTGGGTGATTTACTAAGGACTCAATCGATCAACTAACTTGGATTTGTTTTATCCCGTTTTGTAGATGTCAAAGTTCGACAACTATGGTCTTCCCAAATCCCGTGGAACATGCATTCCACATGAAGATGATTCCACAATTCGATCGAGGAACAAGAAATCATGCTTCACTTCCTCCTCCTCCTCCAATTATTCTCCGTAACCCACAAGATTGTAAAATTGAAAGGTTCAATATCACTCAAGCCCTTTTGGCAAGTAAACATAAAGAAGGAAAATCGGTGTGTGCACACATCTTAGAGATGAAGTTACACATTGATAGGTTAAGAATGATGGGATCCGTTGTCGGTGAAGAGATGGCTGTTGATTGGGTTCTTCAGTCACTTCCTAACTCGTATAGTGAGTTCGTAAGAGATTACTATATGATGAACCACGACGTAACCCTTAT